TATATATATATATATGTGTGTGTGTGTGTGTGTGTGTGTGTGTATATGACCATTTTTATCACTTTTGGGACCTCTTAGAGCCTGTTTCTTAATATGTTGTTTTGCAAAGAGTTGACATTAAGCTAACTTTTGCTAGGTGTTATAGCTTTGGTCATGCCCAGTATAGGTACTGCCAAACATTTGACTGTCAATAAAGATAATCACTGTAAATAATAATAAAATTTCAACTTATGGGTGAATTAGTATATCTTATCAAATCACCAAAACAATAATAGTTGTACCTATAATACTTTTCATTTCATTTATTCCTTCAAACATGTAAAGACAGTCAATATGTCAACACACATAATTTCACACATATCCACAAATCCATTATCAATGTGCTTATACCTAGTACATGCTTGAACGGAGTAGGAAGAAGTTAGACTTATCTAGTCCTACCCCATGACATCATCTTACCATCATTGGTTTGCAAGCAGTATCTCTACATAGATAATTTTGTTCTACACCACGCTAGTGATATACTAAAAAATTATTACAGATTGTTAACATTCTTACATAATTACTTTAAGGAATTGCCTGAATACAGACTGTTAGCACTGATTTACACACTACTGCAGGGCACAATGTCATGTAAGAAAGAGCTCTAAAAAGATTACCTAAATGATAATATGTGTGCTAATACTGCTTGTGTATGCGTTTCTGGTGCATATTACAGTTAACAGGTGTGTAGTTTAAGATGTGTCATACCTTAGGCCAGTTACCCAAATGTTAGCCACTTCAGCAGAGCTGGCCACCAGGTCTAAGCTTTCATACATCTCTCCATAGATGATAGAGAAGGCACAGTCCTCTGAAATCTGCTCATAAACTCCACTGGTGCGGAAGGTTTCTGTGTTACGACCTGTTCGTACCTAGAATTTGCGACCACAGGAGATAAAAAGAGAGAGAGAGAGAATCAATGTGGTTATTTATATAGCAGTAGCAAGAGAAGATTGATTTAGAAAACAGTTTTTTTCTGAACACTGACCTCCCGTATGGAGGTGAGAGCGATCCGAGCTTTGTCTGACTCCTTTTTGGATGGCTCCCAGCACAGAGCCTGGAGCCCTGCATCCAGAAGGTAATAGCGCTGGTACACACGTGAGTTAGGTCGGATTTTCTTCAGCTCACTTCCCTCAACCTGGAGGTAAGACATGAATAAAGCTGTCACCCACTGACTCTCAGCATAGAGCTCAATCCACTTCACCTCTGCAGATGCTTTGTTGAATGTCTGACAGGCTTAGAAGCCTCTGATCTACCAGAAACACATTTCACAATCAATATTTCATGCAGGTAAAACATATATTTTATGATGGTCACAGTGAAGCTGACTCACCATGGAGTGGATACAGTCAGCAGCATTGCTGATTTTCTTCTCTGACAGGCTGCTGCTGAAGGACACCGTCTTCTTTCTGTCCCGACCCACACGTGACCCATCCTGTTAAAGTGTTAAAGAGCGAGAGAAGAAGGAATAAAAGGACATTTTTTTAGGGGGGTAACAGCAAGCAAAAGCGAGTTAAAAAACAGGGAGACAGTGATTCCTCTGAAGAGTTTCTTTGCTTAGGCATGATAAACATTTTTCCTCTCTAGAATGGATCTCAAAGGATTAAAAGGCATATCAGCTTATATAACCATATATAAACACAGATTATAGAACCTCCTACTCCCAGTCTGTTATTGTTTTCCCTGATACCATGCTAAAAGCCTTTGCTTGTCCTTGGCGTTGACTATTACACCATTAATCATACCTGACTAGACAGAGGCAGCAGGCTGCCGCATCCTAATTCTGCCCCTCCACAACGACACTGGCAGACCCAGTCAGTTTATCCGAGCTAACCATCGCACCTCATCCATCTGATTCATTGACAGACCAGATCTCACCCCCAACAGACAACCTTAAATTAACAGATAGGAGCATATATGTGGGTGAAGTTATTCAATTAGGGATATATTAGACTTCTGATTAAATCAAATTGAAGACTTCATTGAAGCTAGTCTAAAAATGGATAATTGTAGTTGATTCCGTCACAAGCAGAGTGATTGAAGATGCTAACATAATCAACATACACTGCTCCTGTACTTGCATCCTGTATAAGTATATATCACAAACAGGGAAGCAAAGTCTAAGAGTCAAATGACAAACTTCTAGAGCTGCAGCTGATGATTAATTAGATTAGCTATTATTATGATAAATATTTTAGCCATTAATCATCTATTCTATGACATGTCTAAAAAAATACACATAACCATTTCTTAGAGTCAAAGCTGACATTGTCAAATTTCTTGTTTTGTCTGAACAAATGTCCAAAACAAAGATATTCAATGCAATTCAATATTATATGCCAAAAAAAGTAGCAAATCAATTCACTTGAGAACCTGAACAAATGTTTGACATTTCTGAAGAAAAAGAAGAAAATGATCAATAAATTATAAAATTTATTGCAGATATTTTTTTGTTAGATAATGCATTAATTGACTAACCATTTCAGCACAATATTGTTATAAAAATTAACCTTTAAATAAGATATAAAGCAAGTCTAACAACCCACTCTGTTAAAAAATTTGGATTTCCTTCTGGACATTATTTTGAAATGGTGAATAAAGCAAGCTAAATGTTAGAAAATGTAAGTGCACATATGTTTTTCAGTGGAAGATCAAATCCAGCAGCCTGTTGCTTTGTTGCTTAAAAATACATAAAGCACATATGTTTATCTCTCAGAATTATACACATGTGAGGATTTAACAAGTCCAACTGATCCCAAATAGGCATATCCAGGTTTTTCCTATGTTTAATTCAGTGACTGATAAATATCTTCATTCAAATATGAGTTCATTTAATCCTCAAGATCACTTGGATCTTTACTGAAAGAAGAAAGCAGGGCCCCCTTCTCATGAAAGAGATCTGAGGAATATAAGGATAAAGAAAGAGAAAAACCAACCCAAGCTGTTTCATCTTGATAATAAGAATGAACATTTGAAAGAGAGGAAGCATAATTCACAGGGGATGAAAAGGTTTCCCTCACAAATCCAACATTACTTCATTAGGATGGAGAAGTGTTTCCAATGGTGACACTTTTTTGTGTGTGTGATGACAGAACAAGGTGGCACTCTAAAAATACCCTTGTTGCCTTGGGGCATGATAGGGTGGGAGAGAGTAGGTATGGACATTAGGTGAAAGAGAGAGAGTGAGTCTTACCATCGAGACACCCCCTTTTCCAATCTTACTCTTAAAACTGCAGGAAGTTAACAAAATATAACACCAGCTTGTAATTCAATTAAATGAGTTTGTGTTCTCATTAACAACCTGCCCTGGAGTGTGTCAGGAACACCTCTAAATTTAACTCTACATCAAACATGAAGACTTAGATGCAACTCTACCCCACCAACGGGGGAGATATGAAAAAAAATCATTTATGTTTATGTCTGTTAAAAATAATTTATTTTGAAAACAGCACTGAATTTATTGATGGTACTGACACGTAAAAGTAAAAATCTACCAAATTAGCGTCCAAGTGTAGGACTAGCCTGCTCTCACATGAAGTATAAAAGTATTTACTTACATTTCTAAGGCAATCACTGGCCTCAATTTTTTTTAAGTCAACTTGTCATTTGACTTTGCCTGGTTAACAGTGTTAAAAGCTAATGCTCATAGCATGCACACCTGTCACAGGCTGTGTTTGAAGCTAGGGAAACACCAGGATTGTTCATGTAGCCTGTTTTACAGTTGGAGGCTGTGCATGCTCCCCTATACAACATGAAGGAAGACAGTTCAAACACACAAACAGATTACACTGAAGTCACTGTAGACTAAATAAATTAGCCTGATAAGGTAAAACTAGAGGGTGTAAATGGACACCCAAGTTAATAAACACCTGAATAAAATGCTAAAAGGTAAATATAGTGAA